ATCGCCGGCGGCTTCACTCACACTACATTTCCCAAAGCAGGGCTAAATGTAGAAAACAACTTACCGCCCGACACTACATGTTCCAGTTGTCGGGGGATTCCACACCGCTGCTGCCCCTCTGCCACCCCGAGATCGGGCCTCGGAGGCCTTGCTGTGGGTTGCTGTGGGTTGCTGTGGGTCCAGCCCTGGACCCACAGCAACCCAACATCCCTCTACTAATTGATGTGGATATTTTTTTTCATGTTTGTTTACCTTTTTTTCATTTTTATTGCAGCCCTGCCCCCTCGCTGCCATTCTCTATGGGAAAGAATGTGTATATATTAAATTCTTTGTCTTCCAATTTGTTTATATTCGGCCATTTTGTCTCTTCTTTTTGAATAGGAACCACCTTGTATAACCTTTCCATTAAGCTAGTTAAACAGTAAACACGTACCAGCTTCAGCCAAGAACTAGCTGGGCTCTTCTGAAGGTCATCTTGTAGATATGGTCTGGGTGCATGGGTATTATGTTAATCGCTGAAACATATTTAAACTATAAGCTCAACCATTAAACTGGAAATTAGTTTAAGCTGAGATGTGTGTCTGTTTCAATTCCCTGCATGATCATGCTAGAGAAAAAGGCATTATTTTATACAACAAACAACTTGTCAAAGACATCTCCTAGGTGAGAATGACGTGTCCTGCTCCCTCAGCCTCCTCACATGATCGTGCTAAAGAAAGGGGAATTATATTATACAACAACAACCTGTCAAAGACATCTCCTAGGTGAGAATGACATGTCCTGCTCCCTCAGCCTCCTAGTATATCCCAATCACATTTTTCAGAAGGCTTCGGGAATAAAGGAAACAGAGCAGCCGGTGGTCGAAGCTGTGCAGGTCATCAGGAACCAGTTGCTTGAACTCAGAGCAGGACAATGACAGTGGTGCGGGACCCAGGTGATGTCATCTTAACAGCGGATCACAGTGAGAAAGCTCTGGATTAGCTGGGCAGGTAAGTATGTGAATTGAGGATAACACTGTACTATGATAAAAGCGGTAATACAAAAAATGGAGGCGGAGTGAAGTTCCACTTTAATAAATGTAAGGCTATACATTTAAAAAAAAAAACAATTTCCCCTGTACACACACGGATGTCAAAAGAGCACATTGGCGTATTGTCATTGGTCCTGCTGAGCACTCTCCAATAATAGAAGAGGTTTATTGACATAAATGCTTTGATGGCCGAGAAAGTGACGCCCCCTATCCCCCAGTTTGTTTATAGCAGTAGACTCACATGATGCCATGCATGATCCTTGTTAAGTGACAATAAATAATTTTCCTAGGTTGCTTGTTGGATAATTTTGCTGTGGTTGTACAGTAAGCGTCCCATTATCCGCAATTCAAGCAACCAGCAAAAAATAAATAAATCGAGGAAAAAGAAATGTCCTACATTTTTTATTTTTTTGCCAGTGGCTTGATGCACATAAAAAAAAATGTTGGTTGCTTGGTGCACAGGACACAAATAAATTACATTAGCAACTAAATGCATTCAGTTGCTAATAAAATTATTTATTTACATCTTGTTGCTCCTGGCCGGCGGCTAGATTCCGCAGTTGGCAGCAGAAAGTAAACAACGGGGAGAAATAGACGGCCTGCTATTGGCGACTTTAAATTGCAATAGCCAATGGCAGGCTAGCTATTGTGGCCGCCCCCTGAGCAGAGGAGTGGACCCAAGAGAAAACTTTCTCAGTTCTGCTCCTCTGCTCAGTTGGTGGGGCTTCAATAGCCAGCCTGCTATTGAAATTTGAAATAGCCATAAGCAGTCTGGCTATTGCTCCCAGCTGCTTACATTCACCTGTCAGCTAAGGAAGCCAGTCGGCAGGTGAATGGGGGGAAGAGGGGCGTCGCAGAGGGGTGGTTGCTTGAGAGTTACTATTAACTCTCAAGCAACCAGAAACTAGAGTTATCCGCAATCTACCGATCCCTGTGGGTGCCGGATAACTGGGAGTTTATATTGATTTTTTTCTGCAAGAAGACAATAAACACAATGAAATATAAAATTACATTGGGGTTATTTAATGTGGCCGGAGTTACTTTTCCCCATTACTTAGAACTCTGCATAGTGCTGTCATGTTACTGGGATGGGATCAGGCAATACGCGGAGTGTTTGGGCTGTGAAGACAAACTGCAAATTTGGAAACCCGTCACCTAAATATACACGACAGTCTAATGTGTACAGTTGTTTTATCGGCAATCCGGAACTGATACATCTGTTGAATGTGTCAGACAAGCTGCAGATGTAGAAAGCAATCTCCGTCTCCGAAATTACTGAGCAAAGAATTTCTAATGGTAAGTGAAACAGGGGAAATAAATGCAGCCCCCCCAAAAAAAAATGCTCAACTAAGTCTAAAAACTAAAATGAAGTTTGTGTATGATGAAAACAGATTTTTTTTTCATGTTAAACAGCCTTTAGAATATTAATATTTAATGGAAACCTGTCATTAGGGAAATGCTCAGCCTGCCATTGCCTTTCCTTTTGGTCATGTTAGTTTCCTGGCATGCTGATTCTCTGGCTCTCTCATATTTGAGTCACTGACATAAAACAGCAGCAGGAAAATTTAGAATTCTAAATTGGAATATTGCTTCTATCTCAGCAACTCAGAATGTATTGAAGACAAGGGATCAACGCTGACCAGCCAGACAACCAGCATTTTACAAGAAGTGCAGTCTACATATTGCTCTCATGACATACGGACCACCCATACTGACATACACCCATATTTAGGGTATAACATGAAACAGTCACATTCTCCAGCCCCCCACTTTGAATCAGTCTCCCCACTTACCTGAATTGTGGGGTTTGTCTACCCGCAGGCTCCTGTATTCCTTTGAATTCATCATGGCTGTGTTTGGTTCTGCATGCACATCCACGTCATCCATTTACATGGTCTGTGAATGGAAGACTACAAGCCCTGTCGGCTACCAGAGCAGATGGGCTCAAATTTTTCAAAAAAGCACAAGTGCAGTGACCTCTCCGCATTTGTAGTCCATTGATTACTTCCTCTGGTTCCCATAACCGAATGGCCGTACCTCCGTACAGACTCGGGTATGGAGGAACAGTCTGCAGGAGCATGAACACTGCACGCTCGATCCACTTACTGCAGTTATAATGCTTTGCAGGCTCCAGCACGTAAAATTAATGAATGCTAATTTTGTATTTCATCAATGTGTGTACATCTATCAATTTCTTCCAAAAGGTGGACTATGCTTTTGAAGTAAACAGCCTAACCCAGGAGTAGGTAAACTCCGGCCCTCCAGTTGTGGTCAAAATACAAATCTCATCATGCATCTGTCTCTGGGAGTCATGCCTGTCGCTGTGAGGATCTTGCAATGCCTCATGGGATTTGTAGTTCCAGAACAGCTGGAGGGGTGGGGTTTGGAAAATTACAAAGGACAACGTACCGAGATACAGCGCTCATCCAGGGGGGATGAGGGATGAGTGGTTGAAGTTTTGAAATTAGTACTAAGTGTACATGTTTAGTTGAGCGGCTTCAGGAACATACGGACCGGGGTATCCGACCGATGAGTGAATCAAACAGAGAAAGGAGGGGAGAAGTGCTCCAAACCAAGCGAATAGAACGGGGCGGTTTTTAGGAAAGGGAGGCTGGAAAAGGGGCCAGTTTTCATTACCGGGTCCGAGTGATACGTTCAGTGGTTGATCCAATTTGTCCCAGAAAACATAAATGTATAATACGGAGGTGATGATATTGTGTAAAGCAAATCAATACAAATGTAGAAACTTACCATTAGGTAAGAAGTGTAGCAAAGTCATCGGCGAGGGGTAGAGGTGGAACCACTTACCTAATGGTAAGATTCTACATTTGTATTGATTTGCTTTACACAATATCCTCACCTCCGTATTATACATTTATGTTTTCTGGAACAAATTGGATCAACCACTGAACGTATCACTCGGACCCGGGAATTAAAACTGGCCCCTTTTCCAGCCTCCCTTTCCTAAAAAACGCCCCGTTCTTTCGCTTGGTTTGGAGGGGTGGAGTTTGGCCACCCTGGTCTAACGCTAACCCTCCTGTAATGAACTGTATTGTAACTGTACTGTCTCCCTTTATTTTGTAGAGTGCTTTGCAAACCGTTGGCACATTATAAATCCTGTATATAATAATAATAAACAAACGTAATCATAATCATAAGAAGAAAAGTAGAGAACAGAGAGAGGAGCTCATTGGTCTGCTGTTTCTCTTTGACTGTCTAATCACAGGTTGGTGGGGGGTGGGGGGGTATAGGAGATCTAGTAGTAGAAAAGTCTAGAAAAATCAGGTCTCCAGAATAAGTCCCCTTTCACCATCCGTTACATCTCAACAGGGGATCCTAGACGGTTCCTCGAATTAGAACAGAGACGGATATCACATATGTGACATCCACGTCCACTAACTTCATGGAGTATTCCAAAAATGGACCTATGTAATGGACCTATGTAATCCCTATGGGTGGCCAGATGTAAACAGAACTGTGTCCCCATTATACAACCACGTCCGGTCAGGCCATGACAAGTGGACAGGGACACAAACTTTTTACAGTCAGTCTGATGTACGTAAATGGACCTAGATGTGGGCGGATATAAGCGGACACACACTTGCTAACATCCGTCTGCCCTTAGGGACGTATTTCAATAAGTTTCTGATCCTCGTAATCATGGATCAAAAATAGACTAAGGGAACGCCCATGGGGAACAGGACAAAACTAAAAACACTTTCTAGCATTTAGATCTGAGGATACAATACCATTTTTTCCACAAAGAAAATGTTTTTTTCCTGGAATTACCATGGAGTTGTTACATGGGCCACACAGGGAGCAAATACTGCTTTGTTCTTTTTAGAATTGCAATTGTGCATACAAGTCTAAAGCTGCCAGCGGGCTGTGTGTAGAACATGGAAATGCACTGCACCTAACAACCATACACACAGCTCTAACTCAATGACACCAGAACATTGCTTGTACTCACCCTTTCTCTGTGCTCAGGTGAACTTTTCTTACTATGCTCTCCAGGACCTTTAATGGTTCTTTAATGACATTGGCATACAGGTCATCTTCCCTGGAAGTAGACAAAATGGATGAAATCACATTACATTTCTGGTGACAGATTACCAAATGATGCTTTATAACCCAAATACAGGCACAAGAAAAAACATCTACCCTGGCAATGGCACCTTCCTGTGTAGAATGGGTTCCAGGGATTCTTCTGTGTTTCTCAGTAGAAAATGGACATCTAATCCACACGTCACCACTCATAACCCTCCTGGCGAGAGGTTTATCTGAGATATTCTAGCACCACTCTCAACGAAGCCTCACTGGTAAGTATGAGTTTAGCCATCTACAATGTTTAATGTTCAATATATTATGGCACTGATACGCACCTCCCACAGCAGAATTTGTCAGGCTGAAACCAAAATGACTTTGCCACCTTTTGTAATTTGTTTTTAATAATTGTATTGAAGGCACATGGCACTTGGACAGCTTCAGCCCAGGAATGACAGCTACCAGTGGCAAGATTCAGCACACAACAGCTGAATGTAAATACAGCAGGTAGTGAGCGGGTGCAATAGCCAGCCTGCTTTTGGCCATTTCAATTGCAATAGCAGGCTGGTTATTGCACCCACCCACTGCTTGCTGTGCCCTCCTCCCAGCGTGAAGGAGAGAGCTAGGGGATCCAACCAACTAATTGATAATGAGAATAGTTGACAACTATTCTCATAATCGATTATTATTGATTAGTTGGTTGCAGCCCTACTTGCAATACCTCACGGGATTTGTAGTTTCACCACTGCTAGAGGTCAAACGTTTGGCTACACCTGCTTCATTCCATGAACTGGGATACTTCTACCTTTTCATTCAGAAAATCTATAACAATTCTTTTCACATAAAGGTTATGCAGTGTATCCATGTACTTTGCCCCAGGACAAATCATCTAAATGTAACAAAAAGCTGTTGCACCATGTCACATGTAGACGGTGAGTGGTAGCCGTGTGGTAGAAGTCATCTTCCGCTATGTAGAAGAGGTCAGACTGATGGTGTTAGCTCTATAACCACTAACGTAATGTATCACAATCAGCAGTGACGCATACTATCAGTCCACTCCAGACAGATGCCATATTGTGTAAGTATTCCTTTAGTGATAGAAAGATACAAGGATGCTATGTTCTTTATATTCCAGCACTATTATGGTCACTTATGGCACCGCAAAGGGCACCTGGGGATAAAGGATTTCTCAGATAAGAACACTTAAAATACATCAGTGGGAAAAAAAATGTTCAGATGGAATTCAGACGCAAAGCATACGGGCACTCAAATCTTCAAGTGTTAGTGAGGGGAAAATGCCGAAATACAGAAAGTGAATACATTTATGAACGGCTTTACCTGCCAAAAATGTGTGATGTAAATCAAAATCATTAAAATGTCATTTTCAATATTTTGCAATCTACAGATTGTATTAACCACTGGCTTCCATTCACCCAAAGGATAAAACTCAAAATATTAACAAGCACTTACAAAGCCATCCACAACTCTGACCCAGGTTACATCTCCAACCTTGTCTCAAAGTATCACCCTAACCGTCCACTCCCCCCACCACCTCCTGCTCTCTAACACCCTCGTCAACTCTTCCCATGCTCGCCTCCTTGACTTCTCTAGAGTCTCTCCCATCCTCTGGAACTCCTTACCCCAACCAGTCCATCTATCTCCCACTCTGACTGCTTTTAGGCGATCCCTTAAGACTCATGTCTTCAGGGAAGCCTATCCCACCTCAACCTAACCACTCAACCATCACGTTCTCAAACAATTCATTCCCACACAGCTACCTCCTCATGTATCACTTCCCCCTCCCTTTTACATAGTTAGCCCTCAGGGGCAGGGCCCTCCTTACAATCTTGTCTTGAATTGTATTGTAATTATAATGTATTTCCTATATTGTAAAGCGCTACACAAACTGTTTGCGCTATACAAATCCTGTACAATAATAATAATAACCAGTTCAGCTGTCACATCTATGCACCTTCTATGGACCAGACCACTTTTACATTTCTGCTATGGGACTATTGAGTTGACAATAACTTTTTCATAACTTAAAGCAGAACTCTGGGGTAAAATTATTATTAACCCTTGCAGTAGGCCTATCCCCACACTGCAAGGGTTAACTGCTTGTTTTGTTCCAGGGAGGAAAATTAAGTTTTCCTCACCCGATCCTCCTTGCTTTTAAACCGGTCTCTGGAGCCTCTCTCCTCCTCCACAGTAGCGGTCTAAGGTCCCTAAGTGCATAGGACATGAGGGACATTCCATCACTGCAGTATAGGAGAGAGGCTTTAGAGAGTGCTGTCACAGCTGGCAGGCTCCGAAGGTTCAGGTGAGTGTAATTTTGCTATTTTTTTTTCCCTAGGCCAAAGTTTGCAGTTCTTGCTGCTAAGGGTGGCCCAACCAGTTATTAGGTTTAGGGGGCAAACTCTTTTTCACACAGGGACATGTGGGTTTGGATTTTTTCCCTTAATAATAAAAACCTTCCTTTAAAAACTGCATGTTGTGTTTACTTGTGTTATCTTTGACTAATATTTACATGAGTTTGATGATCTGAAACATTAAAGTGTGACAAACGTGCAATAAAATGAAAAATCAGGAAGGGGGCCAACACTTTTTCACACAACTGTATATATACACATACACACACTATATTGCCAAAAGTATTGGGACTTCACACGCACATGAACTTTAATGGCATCCCAGTCTTAGTCCGTTACGGTTCAATATTGAGTTGGCCCACCCTTTGCTGCTATAACAGCTTTATCTCTTCTAGGAATACGTCCACAAGGTTTAGGAGTGTGTCTATGGGAATGTTTAACCTTTCTTCCAGAAGCGCATTGTGATGTCAGGTACTGATGTTGGATGAGTAGGCCGGGCTCCCAGTCTCCACTCTAACTCATCCCAAAGGTGTTCTATCGGGTTGAGGTCAGGACTCTGTGCAGGCCAGTCACGTTCCTCCACCCCAAACTCGCTCACCCATGCCTTTATGGACCTTGCTTTGTGCACTGGTGCGCAGTCATGTTGGAACAGGAAGGGGCCATCCCCAAACTGTTCCCACAAATTTGGGAGCATGAAATTGTTCAAAATGTCTTGGTATGCTGATGCCTTAAGAGTTCCGTTCACTGGAACTAAGGGGCCAAGCCTAACCCCTGAAAAACAACCCCACACCATAACCCCCCCTCCACCAAACTTTACACTTGGCACAATGCAGTCAGGCAAGTACCGTTCTCCTGGCAACGGGCAAACCCAGACACGTCCATCGGATTGCCAGACAGAGAAGCGTGATTCGTCACTCCAAAGAACACTTCTCTAGAGTCCAGTGGCGGTGTGCTTTACACCACTGCATCCGACGCTTTGCATTGCATTTGGTGATGTAAAGCTTGGGTGCAGCTGCTCGGCCACGGAAACCCATTCCATGAAGCTCTCTACACACTGTTGTTGTGCCAATCTGAAGGCCACATGAAGTTTGGAGGTCTGTAGCTATTGACTCTGCAGACAGTTGGCGACTTCTGCGCACTGTGCGCTTCAGCATGCACTGACCCCGCTCTGTCATTTTATGAGGACTACCACTTCGTGGCTGAGTTGCTGTTGTTCCCAGTTGCTTCCACTTTGTCATAATACCACTAACAGGTGACCGTGGAATATTTAGTAGCAAGGACATTTCACGGAACACCTGAATCCAATGATTTGGAGGGGTGTCCAAATACTTTTGGCATTATAGTGTGCGTGTATATATATATTTTAGGTGTGCTTTGTGAATGGGGAGGTGCAGACACCGAGTAGCATTCTACAAGGTAAGTACAGTTCCTTTTCAGCTCCAAGACTAGATTAGAGAAAAGCTCAAAAGTTAGGAGGCAGCTATCATTTTTAAGGAGCATTGGCCACGGGGCTCCTGGGATTTGTGCATCCCCGTTTTAATGTATGATGTGTTATTATGTGTTGTTAGGGATGCACCAATAGCATTTTTCCAGACCGAGTACAAGTACTGATACATTTTTGTTTATTGTCATGGGACAGTTTTTCTAAAACAATACAGACTAATGATTTCAGGACAGCGGTGGAGCACCAGGGCCCTGTCCGAGGTTTAACCGCTGCAACCCTGGTAGTTCTCGTGAAAATGTCAAGTATCGGCACTGTTATCTGAACATCCCTAGTAAATACAGCAGAAGCAGTAATGTTGCTTTATTTCCCAGTTCCCAAACCAGAACTACTTGCAAACCACTAAAACTGTCCGCTTCACCAAAATTCCCAAATTGATGCACACATCTCCAATGAAACCAGTACCCCATTCTGCCAATGCTGTGTAAAGTTCAGTAATTGCAAAAACCTTCATGAGACTACAATGTGGGTGCTATGAGTCACTGCCTAATGATCACTACACCTTTTATGCTGGCTCATTGAATAAGATCACATGATCTTCCCTGATCTTGACTTGTTTTGAAAATACAGGAAAATAAACCCGCCAACCATCCAAAGCTTCCTCGTTTTGAACGGTCACTGCATTCATAAAAACCATAAAAGCAGTTCTGCCATTCTATGAGGTCAGTGAACTTTCCTCTCTATGTATAGATCTATAGATACCATTTATATGTACATTTTTCCCCGTCTCTCGCAGAATGCGCTTGGCATGCTTTTAAATGCATATGAAAGAGATTTTTCTGCATAAGGCCAGACAAACAACAACCGCTGTTCTCCGCGCCGTGACTGACACATTGAAGTGTTTGCGTTAATGGATAGTGAAAATTTCCAGCTACTATATATTTCTGCAGCTGAAATCAGCCTGGGGAATGTTACAAAACACAGAATGTTTCAAGGGCTCATTTCCATGTGAAAGAGTGATGAATAATTTAGCTACACAGTAACAGCTTCCAGTGCATAACGAACGAGAAATCTGTATCACAGACTCATACATGTCGACATGTTTGTTTGATTTTAAAGAGCAACTCCTGGCAGATAGCTGAACTCCTGAGATGATGCAACTCCAACCATCAGT